CTCTCTCTCTCTCTCTCTCTCTCTCTCTCTCTCCTCCCCCCCTTGAGGCCCTGTTCCCATGTGCGTACGTTTAATGTTCTGTACTAAAACGAAATTTGTTTCCACATGCTCAAGAAATACATTATTCTAAATTTATATAGTCTATGTTATTTCTGGGCTATATTGGCAAAGAAATTGTTATTCTTCTGAAACTTGGCAGCTCTCACCAGTAACATTTACATTTCATTTGGCGTGTAGGCCACAGATTGCGAGTCTGTTCCCTCGAAAAGTAAGTGCGCTAACTGAGTGAAATATTTTGTTTCTACACATCTCGGCGTCGGAAACCTTGAATTGAACGGGGCAGACGTGCTGGGCATAATGGGCATTTGCCAGTGGCTCAGCTGAGAAATGTCGCAGCGACAAAACCCCATTCTCTCCCCTTTTACACATCGGGATCCCCGAAAACTTGGCAAGGGGCGCCGATCGGCGGAGACACCGCACGGCTCTTTCGAGCCTTGACGACATCATAAATAGCAACCAATATGGCGTCGTAAACGAGTGCTTACTTGCTCAACAATCGAGTGGGATTCCTTCGATCCAGACTCAAAGGTGTGAGTAATGCTGAATGCCGTCAGCGAGAAATAATAACATTGTTTTTCGATTAATTTAAAAGCTTGCTTCATGCTAAATACTTTTGGAGCTAAGATTGTGTGTTGCGTTTATGTATATGTTGAAATCTGACTGTGTAGTCCCGTGTCTTGTGTGCAGTTTCTCAAAATTCAATAATTATGTAGGCCTATGTGTTGCTGACTCTTGATTCCATCGCAAGCGCACGGACATCCCTGTACTATTATTGATCTGAGCCATCGATATTTTCCTCCTGTGTCTTTCAAGGTAGGCTATCGACCACATTCTGTTCTGTGGGTCGCGAGCAGTTGAAATTATAAATTATAGAGTAGTTATATTTTGTCCGTAGCGGAGCAGTGTGTATGCGAGTATGAACATTTCTGTAGGCCTACCGTCCCCAAGGAAAAGCTTAAAAGTCGAGTATAATCGCTGATTTTACTGTGGTACAACTGTAAACCAGTAGAAGAGCTATGTGATTGTGTCAGTGCCTGGTGAAATGTTCAGAACATACAGGTCCCAGCAACAAGCAATTCTTAGAAGTGATGGTGTATTCTAAATTGTCAGAGGAGGTAACCACATTTTTACTTGATGAATCCAAGCACAAGCGCTGTTGGTTTTGTTCCTGTGCCGTGGTGTTACACTGGGCGTAGAAGATATTATTAATTGTTTTATATACATATTGTGTTTGGAGAGAACTTGTATTTGTGTTATTTCTCATATAGATCTAAATCAACATTCTTGAGTATAAGGGGGTCGGGGGTTCATTTGCGTGGGTGGAAGTGGGTGCTGTAGAAAGAATGAGGCGATATACGGTAGTCTGCTCCTTCAGCTTTTTTTTTCTGTGTTGAATTTTTCCAGTCTATTCCTAAACATTTTTTAATCACAAGATCTGTGGGTTTTGTAGGAATTATACTGAAATTCTTGTTTGGATATGGCATGAAGTATTCGTTTGTGATAAATTATGATGACTTTGAATAGAGGGAGCCATCAAGGTGCAGGAGATATCCGTAGTTCAGTAAATATAGATCTATGCCTGTTTCAGTTTGCATTCTTTTATTTATAAAGTTAACTTTATAAGATAGAATGACTTATAAGGGGTGCTCACCATGGATGGGATCGGCAGATCGGGCCGATCACCCGACTCGGTCGCCTCAAAAACAAACGTGTTTGTTTTCAGTTTCAGGTCCGATCCAGCTGTAGTGGGCACCCGGGTATAAGAGTGACCCGTACATGTTATGCTTCTTAAGCTGCACGGAAATCATTCAATGACAGAGTGAAATGAGGAAATCCTCCTCACAACCACACTTCTCTTACACATGCAAAACATTGTGCTTGGTATCGATTCTGTAACTGTTGAACTTTTCCTTTTTGCCCAACACCACTCAGTACTTGGGCGTGTCTGTGTTGACCACATTAATATTCAGTGTAGATTAGTACTTTGTTTGCGTGGTTTGAGGGTGTCACTGTAGATCGTACTTCTTAACTCTGTCTTGTATTTCCCTTCGTATCTTAAGCTTTTCCCCCTTCCCTTAACCTCAAAAAGTAGTTGGTACGGTAATGTATTGTCTATAACTTCAACATATAACTTTGTTAATTGTAACTGAGAGGAGAAACACACTGATACTAGGAGTAGCACTTGGGAAGTAAGCTGACTAAAGATATATAGCCCTTTGCTCTTTGAAGAATTCCTTTGTTCTCTTTGTTCTCTCTCTCTCTCTCTCTCTCTCTCTCTCTCTCTCTCTCTCTCTCTCTCTTTCTCTCTCTCTCTTTCTCTCTCTATCTATCTGTCTCTCTCTTTTTAGCAGTTTTTCGTTACACTATTATCAATTATCAATAAGATAATTATTAAATTTATTCAAAACTAAACCCACAGTAAGCATTTACGGACTTTTATTGTCTCATATAAGGCCGCAGAAAATTTCATTCCCAGAACCACGCTTTATTTTTGGCATATTTTTCATGTTCACTTTTCGTGTACGCTTATTGATTCATAGCTTCACATACTTGTGGGTGAAAGAAAGATATTCCAACAAACAGCCAAACTTCTTCAAGGTAAGAGTTGACATCTAAATTTGACAACTTAATGTGAAGGAGTCTTTCCTGCTCATTAGAAGAATAAGATACTTTCAGGGTCTGTTTCTGAGTGGACCTCCCAACAATAAGTATAAAAGAATTGACTTTTTCAACAAGTGTTGTAGAATCGTTTTTTTTTTTTCTTTGACAGCCACAGACCATGGAACCTCGCAGGCGTGGCAAGAAGGCCCAGGTGGCGCCAGGGGAGGGGGAGGACATGAGGGAAAACAAGGGCAAAGACAACGCCAATTTTGTCTTGAACGAATTGGGAGATGAGACGGCCAACAATCTGAGGTGAGTTTGTAATTCTAGGTGCTGTTCTTCTTGCTGATCTTTGCGAGGCGTGCTGACTAAATGAGTGATCACTTCTCGCAATCGGTGAATGAAGATATCTGCCAAAAATCGACACAAGAGTCAAATATGTATATTTTCAATGTTGTCATTAAAAAAAAATGTAAACATATCTTTTATCGTTTCATTCTCATAAATTGTACTAACTCAACCTATAGATTTGACATAGCTATTTCCATGCTGCCAAAATCTGAGAAGTGACTCATTTTGTCAGTATGCCTCACATTTGCTGTTAGGCTTAGTGCCATATGTAGCAAATACAAGGTCTTCATGAGTCGCTCCCTGTTGCTCAACTTGAACGAAAACCCCCAGCTCAGCTTCTGCTTTTATGTCATACATAGACATGTGTCAGAGGTATTTCCTGGACATAGGTTTTGCTTTTTTTCTTTGTGTGAATGTTTCCTGAATTAATCAATTTTTTTGGCGGGTTTGCAAATTAAATATTCTTACTGCGGTTTGCTGACACTTTTGAAAAAAAATTGAGTGACTGAAAGGTGCTGATGATAAATACAATGCCTTGTTACTTTTCATATACTCGACAGTGTAGGCTATTGCAGTGGGTGATACATGTCATTAATAATTTTGTTAGTTATGATCCATTCATGTGTATTACAGTCCAAACTGTCGAAGATGGCCACCCATTGCCGAGGAGAAAAGTGGCCGTCTTAAAGAGGTGGTCGTCTTACACAGTGTCATGCTCATGTAAAAAATACGCTAGGGAGGAAAGGGGAAGTGGCCGTTTGAACGGGTGGTTGGTTGTCTTATACGGGTGACCGTCAGAGCAGGTTGGACTGTACTTATCTGAGATAATATTGTATTATTTTACTCTCACAATTTAGAAATATATCAATGTGTTCTTTTGCTTTCTTCTCAGGGGATCTCTACGGTTTTCTGAAGCAGCCAAAAAAGTGTCCGACGAAATGGATGCTTTCAAGTTGCTGGCAAATGTGAGATCAAGCGCCAGTAAATGGAAATCATATGCTACCAGCCGAAGATTCAAGAAAAGAACTCGTAAGTTTTTAAATTTTATGGTGCAGTTTTGTGAGATTGATTGCACCTTGTCTCGTGCCTCCCTGCCACTTGCTCACCTCGTCTCGTGCCACTCGCTCACCTCATCTCATGCCACTCATCCACACGCTTTCCTCCTTGAGGGGCATTCTTTTTTTAATAGAATTTATTTTGCATAAATTTTTGTCTGAGTGCAAACATTAGTTCTGCAGTGAAATAGTCATGTAATCTGGGTAATTGGTTTCAAACATATACTTCAGAACATAATAATACTATATGAATATGTGCATGTATTTATATTTATTCATGTTTTGTATTAATAGTAAAGATTATGTTCCTGTTGAGCTCTTTGTGCTGTGGCAGTTTTATAAGTTGGTTTATGCGTTTGAAATTTACACAATTTTTGGCCCTTGATTTTGATGTGTTTTTCACTGCTTTATGAAACACCTAAATTGCATTGAAAAATGTGTGAAACTGACAGTCTTTTAAAAATAACTCTGCCTCTCCTGTCTTAAAACCACTAACAACTTTTGAGTCAAAATGTGTATCCAACATAAAGAACCCACATGAACCCACACACGTACATACACACACTTGTGCATACTCTCATACAAATGTCACACAGACACCACTCAGTCTCACACCCACTTTGCACATGTTCATACACTCACTCATGCAAATACGTTATATCACACACACCCAGCACACACATGCACACACACACACACACACACACACACACACACACACACACACACACACACACAGGCGCGCAACATGTATACACCCATACACACATGTGTTTGTAAATAGAATGGCGTCCGAAAGAAACTTGAAAATGTAATCAGCCAATCATTGTGTTAAAGACTTGCTCTACCCACTCATGCAGCATATAAATTCTGCTTCATCTGACA